CCGAACCTCGCTCAGCCAGTGAGCGGGAACCGGTCTGTATGTGGGATCCGAACCATCGGCGGGAGCGCCGCTGCGCTCTCAAGTGGCGCACTGTAGCAGTGCGCCACCGGGCCGGCCCAGAATTCTGAGCTTCTAATGAACTTTTTATATATAGTGCTCATGGAAATAGTGCTTAATAAATTTACTGGTACTAAAATGTTTTATATTAATAGCTTCAATTTCTGGGTGATTTACTAGAAAGAGCTCCGTATTTTTCCCCCAACATTGTATTATGATCACTTCCAAACATATAACAAGGTTGAAAGAATTTTATGATACCCGAATCCCGACCACTAAGGTTCTGCCATTATCATTTTCTTATATTTGCATTATCACATATCTGTGGATTTGTCCATCCATCCATTCCTCAGTTCATTCAGTACTCTTCATAAGGACTTGCTGGTTTTGTAAACAACTGTGGATAGAATTCTGCTTTTGCCACTAAAGCAAATTAAAGACTAGAGAGTAGAGAGCGATGACATTCTTCGCAATTTAAACTAGGAATACGTTTCTCTGTTTATAGCTTTTTTTTGAAAAAGATAATAAAGTGATAAAGAGTGGTAATTAATTTATTATCTATTCACTTATATTATGGATTAAATGTGTGCTGGTCAGGAGCCTAATTAACCACTCCTTTTGATGTTTCATTCTCTGTTACCTTCTTGTGCATAGGTCTCCCTTCAGATAAATCAAGCTAATAATACTGTTAGACTTTCACAGAGAAGCCACTGAGTTGGTTGAGATGTGTACTTTTTTCTAATCCCGCCGAAAAAAAATCATATTAATTTTTTACATGGAATGCTGAGAACAATTATGTTTTAATATTTTTATTTTTTCACCTTAACTTGTACAAACAAAATCATTTAAATTTCCTATTTTATTCCTCCTAGAGATTGTACATTAAGACCTTAATGGGGCCGGCCCGGTGGCGCACTGCTACAGTGCGCCGCTTGGGAGTGCGGTGGCGCTCCCGCCGAGGGTTCGGATCCCACATACAGACCGGTTCCCGCTCGCTGGCTGAGTGAGGTGCGGGCGCGACACCGAGGGTTGCGATCCCGTTGCCGGTCCCGGTCTGGTACGGGTGCGACACTGAGGGTTGCGATCCGTTGCCGGACACGAAAAAAAGACAAAAAAAAAAAAAAGAAAAGAAAAGAAAAAAAGACCTTAATGTATATAGGTCCCTTACTAATAATAGAACACTTTTATAATTAATAATAATACATAGCATAATTCTTTTAAACATTATTTGATTTTCCTAAAAGCCAAGTTAAAAATAGATATTTGAGGGCCGGCCCGGTGGCGCACTGGAGAGTGCGCCGCTTGGGAGTGTGGCGGTGCTCCCGCCGAGGGTTCGGATCCCATGTGGAGACCGGTTCCCACTCACTGGCTGAGCGCGGTGCGGGTGCAACACCGAGGGTTGCGATCCCGTTACCGGTCAATAAAAAAGACAAAAAAGAAAAAAAAAATAGATATTTGAGATTTCAAGTAAGAATTGGATTTAGTGAATAGCCAATTTGTTCTGATTGGAAATGGAGAAAGGAATGCAAGAAGGTAAAACAAGCACCTGATGGAAAAATGTCACCCACCTCAGTTTGAGGATGATCAGCGTTAACATTTTGTGTAATCTTACAGCCTTTTTTTCCTACTCATGTTTAAACAAAATTAGGATGACAGTGTCCAAGTTGTTTCATAACCTGTCCCCGCCCCCCCCCCGACAGTAAATGAATTTCCCCATTTGGCTACTATTCCTTTACAAAATGGAAATTATGTGGTCATCAAAACCATATGGAGGATGATAAACTGTTTCAAACCAAAGAGTATGTTATCAGGGAGAGTTAAGTGCCGGTTATCAGATCACTTGCGTTTGGACTGGTAGGAAAGGGATTAAAAAGACAGTGAAGCAATGTTACTGTTTAAGGAATTGGATCAAGAAAAAATGAGCTTAGAGCTGTGCAAGCAGTTCTCATTCTTAAAGTCAACTGAGATTGGACAAACTGGCCATCATTGCAGATGTTTTTATAATGTACATCTTAGTGGGACTGTTGATGTTTAGCAGATTTACTCATGACTGCTTCACATTGATGGATGAAAGTTTTTTAATGCATTAAATCCAGGTCAGTTTTTGTTAAAAAACAAAATAGCTTTGTTTCCGGCATAGGTCTCATTAAAGGGAGGTTTTGCTGCACTTGATTGGTAGGTTGAAACAAAACTCTGGTAAGGTTGGCAGTTCTTATCTATGGGAGTGAACAGAGAGATCCTTTCTCTCTTATTCATCTGGCAGGAAAGTTAATCTAGTTGCTTTCAGTTTAGGGAAGCAAGTTTTCAAAAGTGGCATTAATCTTCAATTAAAGTTGCTATGGGAAAGGAGAAGTGGGCCCGTGGCACCTTGTGGGCATATTCTCATGATGCTAATGATAGCAGTGTAACAGAAAACACTTCTCACTTGTGAATTAGGCATTTATAACCGTGGTAATGAGTGATGTTCTGAGAATGTCATGCTCAGCATTCTCCTCGTTCCTACCTTTTGATAATTCTGAAAAATCTTTTTAAAAAAATTTTCTTACAAGTAAATACGTTTTTAGGAGCCCCAGTTTCATAGAATGGTAACATTAAGAGAAACCTTAAGTGTCCAAGACCAATTAACCCAATGTAAAAGAAATTTATTTTGAATGCTTTAGTGCTCATCCCTTAGATAGTAATTTATTTTTCTCTCTAGTGAGAGGTTCATGCAGGAGATGAAACTGAACTACATTATGGTTTGAGTAGGACCTATGTTGGAGCTTGTATCACATTTGTTTTATGATTCTTGGGGGAGTTTTGGTGGTGGTAGTTCATTTTTCTTTTTTTCTTGTGTGTGTGTGTACATGTGGGTGATACATATACTAGAAAAGCCATTTTTTTTCTTATGGTTATAAATGAAGCTTGAGAAGGTAATTCCGTACTAAAACTGAAACTAGGTAGAGCAATAGTGTTTAATTGTGATTTTTAAGGCAATGATTGATCAAACCTATCAATGGTCTTATCTGTTTTCCTGTAACATGTATATTTATAATTACTTAGTTCAGAGGTATTTAACTTTTCCTTCCTTTGCACAATATAAGGAATGCTTTTAAATATTTATATGCTATTAGATATTTTTAAATAATACTGTTCCAACTTTCATCCTTTTCTATCTGATGTTAAGTATAAAGTTGCAGAATTAGCTTGAATACTGATTTCAGCTGGCGTGCAGTGGATATAGAGCAGCATCTTTCCAAATTAAAAACAAAGGAAGTTCCTGTGTGTAGTTTCCTGTCTCTTAAAAGCAAACAAAAAACCTTCTATAATTATTAAACTCCTTTCAGAGTTTCTCTAATATTAGTAGTATGAATTTTGTTATTTCAGTGTGCTAAATTTTTCCTGGATGTTCTCATTCACTTTATTAAAGATATTTTCTTAAAAGGTAAATGATTTGTTTTTCTTTTCCTTTATCAGAACACAACAATGGAGGAAACAGCTATATGGGAACAACACACAGTGACGCTTCACAGGGTAAGTTTCTGTTACAGTAAATAATCTGTGTATAACTCAGGATACTGGCAGCTTTTGAAAACAATAGAGAAAAGCCAGATGTCAGGAAGCCAGAAGAAAGGGGAAAATTTTTTCTATATTCTTTTGTTTAAAATTGGAGTTGCAATAAATTATTAAGGTCAAAAATGAACATGATTACTTTTTCATATATCCTTTTGGTTGTAATTTATTTGCTGTTTTTATTCCTAACTTAAGAAAGTAAGTGATTTTTAAATTTTGAGTGATCAAAGACTGTATATTATTCTAAATTATATATTGCTTCAACCTTTCTGAGTGTATATGCATGTATGGTTGGCTTGGGGTTTAAAATTAAACATAATAAAATTTAAAAGATACTTGTTGATTTGAAACATGTAGACCCAAGCTGTTGCTTAAACAATTGCAGATGGGTGGAGAAAGATTAGTAGTAAGTTTGGTAGGAGTGAGAAATTTGTCTGAAATGAGACTGCCCTAAATTTGAATTCTAGTTCTGACTTTCTCTTGCTTTAGAAATGGGCATGTGATCCAACCCCATTTGATAGCCTTGGTTTTCACATGTTTAAAATGGGACTAATGGCCAACTCATGCTTTTATAAATTCATAAATTATCTCCCCAAATTCTCCCCATCCTCACTTGGAAGAGAACTGACTCTACTGATTACCCTCTCCTTCAGAGAATGTACAGAAAAAGATTAGAGAATATTTAAATATAGGCCATATACTTCACATTTACTATTTCTACCAGTTGTATCCATGATTAGGAAGATGGAAAGAGGGAAAATTAAGTTCCTGGACCCTGCCCCTGATTGTCTCATGAATGTTTGAATCCTGTCCATAATAGATAAATTAATTATTAAAAAAGTGATTTCAGATAAGATATAGTCAGCTTTTTTATGTCTCATTAATGGTGAAGGAAATCATTAAATAACACTGACCTTAACTTTTCATTTGTAAAGCTGAAATATGGCCTTCCTTTGTTTGAAATGTTCTGATAGATAGCACATTTAAATCAGATATATATGATTAAACATATAAAACAATCATACCTTCTGACTGTTTAATTGGCCAGTCATGATATCATAATGATTTGGTATTATTTTATTACATTTATTTTTCTTAATACCTTTATTATTTTTATTGATGTAATTTGCATACAGTAAAGTTTATCCTTAATGTACAGTTCTGAGTTTTGACAAACACATGTAGTCAGGTAACACCACCACCACAATTAAAATATAGAACAATTTTATCACCCTAAAACTTTCCCTTGCACCCATTTGTAGTCAACCAGTCCTTTCACCCTGAGCACTTCACAATCACTGATCCGTTTTCTGTTCGTATACTTTCACTTTTTCCAGAAAGTCATATGAATGGACTCATACAATCTGTAGCTTTTTGAGACTGACATCTTACACTTAGTCTTACACATTTGAGATTTCTCCATGATGTTGTTTGTGTCAGTAGTTCCTTATTATTGCTGAGTAGCACTCCATTGTATAATGTAATAATTTATTCATTCATTCTCTAGTTGTGGTGTGCTTGGGTTGTTTACAGTTTTTGGTGATTATGAATAAACCTGCTTTAGTGTACAGAGGACATAACTTTTCATTTCTCTTGAGTAAATACTTAGGAATAGAATTGCTGTGGGTTGTGTGGTAAGTGATTGTTTAATTTTATAAGAAACTGCCAAACTCTCTACCATCTTGCATTCCCACCAACAGTGTATCCTTCACTTGCTCCTTATCCTCATCAAGTCTTGTTTGTTTGTTTTGATTGTAGCCATTCTAAGAGTTGTCTAGTGGTATCTCACTTCAGTTGTGCATTTCTCTAAATACTTGTGAACTTAAGTATCTCTTGATGTGCTTATTTGTCATCTGTGTATCTTTGGTAAAATGTATTCAAATCTTTTGCCCATTTTTAATTAGGTTATTTGTGTTCTTGTTATTCAGGTTTTTAAAAAAAATTGTAGTAAAATAATACATAAAATTTACCATCTATTCAAGTTTTTTGCTCATTTTTTAATCAGGTTTTTGTTGTTGGTTTTGTGTTGTAGGAGTTCTTTATATATTGTAGATATAAACCCCTCATCAGATACATGATTTTCAAATATTTTCTCCCATTTTGTGGATTGTCTTTTTGTTCTGTTGGTTGTTACCTTTGGTATACAGAAGTTATTATTGAGTTTTGAGAGTTCTTTATACTGTTTATTCAGGATGCAGGTTCTTTCTTTTTTTTCTTTTTTTTTTTTTTTTTTTTGCTGGCCAGTACAGGATCTGAACCCATGACCATGGGGTTATAAGGCTTCACTAACCAACTGAGCTAACTCACCAGCCCTACATACAGGTTCTTTATCAGGTATTGTTTTGTAAATATTTTTTTCAGTCTGTGGTTTGCCTTTTCCTTCTCTTAACGGTGGCTTTTGCTGAGTGTAAGTTTTAAATTTGGAAGAATTTAAATTTGTTAATTTTTGCTTTTAGCAATCATGCTTTTGGTTTCATATTTGAGAATTCTTTGTCAAATCCAAGGTTACAAAGATTTTTTCATGTCTTTTCTTCTAGAAGTTTTATTTCACTTAAAATTTGTATGTACAATTTTTAAAAATTAAAATTTTTTTTCATATGGGTGTCCAATATCTTGAGCAGCCATTTTGTTGGAAAGATTATCATTTCTTCATTTAATTGCCTTTCTTCCTTTGTCAAAAATCAATTTACTGTATACATGTGGGTCTATTTCTGGACTCCCTAGTCTGTTCTGTTGATTCATTTGTTTGTGCCTTTACCAGTTATTTCTCCTTTGATTACAGTAGCTTTACATTAAGCATGGAAATCAAGTATAAATCCTCCAAAGTTGTATTTTTAAAAATTGTTTTGGATATTCTAGTTCTTTTGTTGTTCTATATAAATTTTAGAATAAGCTTGTCAATTTTTACCAACAAAATAATCTGCCAGATTTTATTGGAATTGCACTGAATCTATAGATTAATTTGGGATGAATTAACATCTTAATACTGAGTCTTTCAAACTGTGAACATAGTGTATCCTCCCATTCTTTGATTTCTTTCATTACTGTTTTGAAGTTTTTGGCATACAGATTCTGCACACATTTTGTTAGGTTTTTAGTTAAATATCTAAGAGTTTTTGGTGGTATTGTAAATGGTATGTAGAAATACAATTCTTTTTTTTATTATTTTTTTTATGTTTATTTATTTATTTATTTATTTATTTATTTTTATTTTTATTTTGTCAATATACAATGTAGTTAGTTATTGTGTCCCATCACCAAAACCTCCCTCCCTCCTCCCTCTTCCCCCTCTCACCCAGATGTGTCCCCTCCATTTTCTCGTTGTAAGAACTTCAAAAAAAAAAAGTTGAGGTTGTTAAATCTTCCTCTCCCCCCCTCCCTTTTTTGTTGTTGTTGTTGTTGTTGATGTTGTTGTTGCTGTTTGTTTGTTTTTGTGTGAGTAGTGTGTGTGAGAGTGCGTGTGTGTGTATGTATGTGTGTGAATTGATTCATTCACCTTTAGCTCCCTCCAATAAGTGAAAACATGTGGTATTTCTTTTTCACTGCCTGACTCATTTCACTTAATATTATTCTTTCAAGGTCCATCCATGTTGTTGCAAATGGGAGTATTTCATTCGTTTTTATAGCTGAGTAGTATTCCATTGTGTAGATATACCACATTTTCCATATCCACTCATCCGATGATGGACATTTGGGCTGATTCCAGCTCTTGGCTATTGTGAAGAGTGCTGCAATGAACATTGGGAAACAAGTATACCTTCGACTTGATGATTTCCATTCCTTTGGATTAGGATGGCCAATTCTTTTTTTTAATATAGCAACCTAGTAACTTTTTAAAACTTACTGGTTCCAGGAATTTTTTTTTATAGATTCCTTTGTATTTTTCTACATAGACAGTCATGTCATGCTTAATAGAGGCAGTTTTATTTCTTTCTTTCCAATCTGTATGCTGTTTATTTCTTTTTCTTGCCTTATTGCACTGGCTAGGTACAATAAGCATGTTGCTGAACAGGAATTGTGAGCAGACATACTTGTCTTACTCCTAATGTTGGGTGAAAGCATTCTGTCTTTCATCATTAAGTATGTTTTTGTTGATGCCCTTTATTAGGTTAACGAAGTTTCTTTGTACTTCTTTTTTGCCATTCATTAGGTTGAGGAAGTTCCCTTTTATGTTAGACTACTGAGAGTTGGTTCTTTTCCAATCATGAATGGATGTTGAATTTTATTGATGCTTTTTTTGGCAAGGATCTATTGGGATTATCATATGGGTTTTCTTCTTAATCTGCTGATATGATGAATTTCTTGCTTTTTGATTGTTGAACAACCTTGCATTCCTAAGGTAAATCAATTTATCTATTTTATATGTTGTTGGATTGATTTGCTGATATATTTGTTTCAATGTTTATGAGCAATATTGGTCAGTACTTTTTTTTCTTATATTATTTTCATTAGGTTTTGGTATTGGAGAAAGCTACTAACCTCAAAATAAGGAGTTTGAAGTGTTTCTTCCTCTTGCAGTTTCTGGTGGAGAATAATGTCATGTACAATTGACATTATTTTTCCCTTAAATATCTAGTAGAATTCAACAGTGTAGCCATCTGATGCTAGAGTTTTCTTTGTGGGGAGGTTTTGAATTACAAATTCAGTTTTTTAAATTTTATGTTGGATTATTCATGTTATGTATTTCTTCTTTGTTAGGTTTTGTTTGTTTGCTGGTTTGTTTGTATTTTGTAGCTTTGGTAGTTTATCTTCCAAAGTATTTGTCTCTATCATCTAAGTTGTTAAATTTAAGGGCATAAAATTGTTCATAATATTCCCTTTTTTTTATTTTAAATTTTTATTAGCCTATTCATTTTTACAAATTGTGGTATTTCTTTATACCCTTTGCCCAACCTGTCACTTCCTAAACCCCCTCCCCCCTCCCTCCATTCCTTATTTTTAATGTTGAATGGTCTATTATG